AGATTGTTTCAATCCATACAGGGCCTTCCTAAGGCGACAAACGGTATGACGAGACTCCCCTTGACCAACGAACCCAGGTGGTTGCTCCATATAAACTTCTTCAACTAAGTCGCCATGTAAGAAGGCATTTTTCACATCTAATTGAAACAACGGCCAGTTACGATTGGCAGCAATGGAAATAAGGACTCGTATAGAAGAATCTTTGCAACAAGGGAACAAGTCTCATCATAATCAACACTACAAGTCTGTGTATACCCTTTGTGACAAAACGAGCCTTCAAACACTCAATAGACCCATCGTGAAGGTATTTGACAGTGTAGACCCACTTACAACCAACCGGTTTGGAACATTGAGGTAAGGGAACAAGATCCCATGTCCCAGTATGATGAAGAGCATCCATTTCATCAATTATGGCTTGTCACCAACCAGGATGAGAAAGAGCATCCTGCAAAGTCTTGGGAACAAGTATAGCAAACAGTTTGGATAAAAAACAAGATAAAGTAGGTTGAACATGATTATATGAGACAAAATTAGAAATAGGATGTGCAGTAACACAAGATCGAGTACCTTTGCATAAGGCAATAAGAAGATCATTATCAGCAACAGGAGCCTCAATAGAAGTATACAATCAAAAGGCTGCTACTCGTGGTCATGTACTATACACTTGAAGTGGCGGTGACACTAGAAGTGGTTGTGGTGTCACAGGCAGATGAATGTGACACAACAGGCAACGGAAGCAACAACTCGGTATCGAAAGACGAACCATGTGAAGAGAAATAAGGAGTGTCCTCAAAAAAAGGTAACGTCCATGCACACAAAAGCCCTACGAGTGTTAGGATCCCAACATTTATAACCTTTTTGAGTCCGAGAGTACCCAATAAAGACACGCTTAATGGCACGAGGAGACAATTTATTAGTGCTAGGACGTAATATGTGAGCAAAGCACACACACCCAAAAACACGAGGAGTAAATGCAAATAACGGTCGAGTACGAAAAACAAAAGAATAAGGGCATTTCCAGTTAAGAACGGAAAATGGCATACGATTAATTAAATAGCAAGTAGTTAAAACAGCATCGCCCCAAAATGGCTATGGAAGATGCATATGAATCATTAAAGTCCGAGCTATTTCAATTAAATGCTTATTTTTCCATTCGGCTATGCCATTTTGTCGAGGAGTATAAGAACAAAAAGTTTGGTGCAAAATACCACGAGAGTCACAAAATGTATAAACAGCACCTTTGACATATTCCATAGCATTATCAGATTCTAAAATTTTTATAACACAACCAAACTGGACCTCAATTTCTTTAAAAAAAATTGAAATATGGAAAAAAGTTCAGACCGGTCTTTCATTAAAAACAGCCAAGTCATCCTTGAATAGTCATCAACAAAGGTAACAAAATATGAGAAACCTGAATTACTAACATGACACACAGGACCCCAAATGTCAGTATGTACCAAGTCAAATAAAGAAGACCGGCGATTATCAATACGAGGAGGAAAAGACACTCTATGGTGCTTACCCAATTGACACGACTCACAGTCTAAAGAAGACACTGACCCAAGAGAAGGAATGGCAGACTTCAAGTAACTTAAGGATGGATGACCCAACCGATAATGCCATTGTTGGGCATTGGCAGAGACCCGTGAATGGAGAGCAGTACCACTAGTAGGCGACTCACAATCCAAGAAATATAGACCATTTTTCGCAAAGAAACCACCAATTGTCAACTTCGTTTTGAGATCCTGAAAGACACAAAATGAGGGATAAAAGGTTACAGAACAGTTGAGTGCCTGAGTGAGCTTGCTCACTGATAATAAATTGAAAGGAAACTCAGGAACCAATTGCACAGAAGATAACAAAATGGAAGAAGTGAGGAGAATGGTACCCTGTCTAGTAATGGGACGAGTCCTACCATCGGCAAGAGTAACAAAAGTAGGAGAATTAAACTTGTGAAAATTAGAAAATAGAGATGTAATACCCGTTATATAGGTAGATGCCCCAGAGTCAAGAACCCAAGAGGAAGACTGGAAGTCCGAAAAACATGCAACATTACCTGTCTGGGCAAAGTTGACAACACTGTCAATAGATGTGGGTTGTGCCGAATTGACTAAGGCATGGAACTCGGCTCGGGATATTCTGACACTATCAGTACTAATAGATGCTGACATTTTTTTTTTTTTTTCGCAACACAAAAGAGGGGAAGGAAAAAAAAAAAAAAACGAAGCTAAAAATTAAAAAAACTAGCCGACCTACGAAGAAACAGAGGAGGAAAAAAAAAAACGGAGTTGAAACAGGTCTATCGGGTCCAGAAATGGGTCGTCTGAATCAGGTTGAACCAGAACCGGATCTCTGCAAACCTAGTTTTAGTAAACCACGGTTGGGATAACTTCATGCTTGCAGCCAAACACCACCCTTCTTCTTCACAATTAGTGTCGGCGAGAACCAGAATCTGCTGCCAACAAGAAGCAACCAAGGATCCGAGGTTCATAATGGAGAATCGAGACCTCCACAAGGTGAAGCCCTAACCACAAACCAATTAACAGCCAAGGGACGACGGTGAAGCCGCTGCAACTCTCTCAGCTACAGCAAAGAACCACACTCAGTTTCAAACGAAGCCGCCGACCACAAACTCAGTACCGAGGATGAAGCTAGGGACGCAACACAAGGCGACGACAGCAAGGGAACTCCGACAATAGCAAATGATGAGGTCGCGACACGAAGAAACAGATTGGAAATTTCACGATATGACAGAAATTTCAAGGGCTGGGCAAACCCAATGCACAATCACCTTCATAGACGGTGATTAATTTCGTCAGCATCAAACCATGACGCCGCTGCTGCTGCTCTCGGGGTCCTTGAGAGGCAACGGTGGCGAAGTTTGTGCACAGCAATCGCAACCCAGCCGGCGATGAAACTCTGCAACTTCTGGTGTCACAAAACAAAATTCTTGACGGCCGCAACTGATTCGCGAAAATGAGTCCTCTCCAATCTCCTCCAAATAAAGTACACAGCTATGACAACAACCAAAACAAATCTCTCGAAGCTAGTACACACCCTAGCCACCGATTATGCAACTCGCAACAACAACGGCACTAATCGGACTGATGAAGCTCTGATACCATTTGAAATTGCAAGAGTAGAGAGAGAGATGATAAAGTGAGAGATGGAGGCGCTGTAATCTTCTCATTACATCAACCCTAAACATAAAAGGGTATATACAAACACAATAAAGGCCTATTTGCATAATGGCCACAACTCTATATATAATTACAATCTAACCCAAACATAAATATATATCTACATATAAATGTTCTAACAATTAAAATGAACGATAAACATCAAGAGCAGCTCGAAATAATTTGGCACCTTAGGCGAAATTTATTTTTATAAGAGTGCGGATTTTTCATTAAAATAAATGATAAGCACCAAGGGCGGCTCGAAATAATTTGGGGCCTTAGGCGGAAAAAAAATTATATGAGTGCGGAATTTTCATTAAAATAAACGATAAGCACCAAGGGCGGCTCGAAATAATTTGGGGCCATAGCCAATAAATAAAAAGTGGCCTTGTTAAAAGAGAACTATAAATTTGTAATGATAGAAGATGGAGACGACTTGTTGAAGAGTTTAGAGAGGAGAGAAAGTATGTGATGAATACGAAAATAAATAAATAAAATAAAAGATAAAAGCAAGAAAAAGAATATGGAAAAAAGAAAAAAATAGTGTTGTAAAAAATGTCGAATGAGAGAGAAAAAAAAGTTATTTAAGAATATAAATATTTGGAACCAATATTAAAATTCTACATGAGGAGGAGAGAGAGGAAGAGATAGATTGAAAAGGAAAAAAAAAAATCATTTAAGGATATAAATATTCGGGGCCAATATTTCTGTATTGGTTAGAGTTTAATTTAAAACCGTGAATTAGGAGGAGCTAGAAAAGAGAGAAAATAAGAAGTTATTTTAGAATATAAATTTTTTAGGCCCGATATTAAATTTCTATATTGATTGTATTTGTAAAAATATTAGGAAATAATTATAATATAACATATATATATATATAAGGAAATTTAAAATTTTAAGGCCTTTCCAAATTGGAGGTCCTAGGCAACTGCTTAGGTCGCCTACGCCCAGGGCCGGTCCTGGTGTCTCCCACTCCTAACCGGATTCATTTGGAAAACTCATCCCAACCCTTTCGAATAAACTTCCAAGCACCAACACCTACTGGTGATCTCGTCTCCCTAGAAAACCACCGGCCTTCATCCTGCCCAGCAACAAGCAATGACCTTCCTCCATAATTTGGTCCTCTCGACCCAAAATCTCCAGAGCCATGTTTTTCATACCTCTTTCTCTAATTTTTTTATGGAAGCAAAATTGTGGGCTCCAAGGGACTCTTATCCTTCCCTTCTTCCTTAAGATTGCTACATTCCTCTCTTTCCTCCTCCCCCTTTCTTCATACCAAACTTGCTCATGGCATGAACTAAATCATACAACTCAACAAAACAGCTTCTTAACCATTTGAACATGGTTGGAGTTTTGTTCTTTCAACATGTTTGGAGTTTTGTTCTTTCTTACTCATAACTTGCATGAACAAATTTAATCTAACCCTAGCATTCAAAAGTTTTAACAAAGAAAAAAAGAGAAAGGTAAAGAAAGGAGAAGCATTGCATGACAACCCAGTAAAAAGAAAAGTGAAAAACTAAAGTTATCTATGCACCTTAGAAAGATAAAAGTGAAGCTATATCATCAAACTCACATTCAAACGATGACCTGTCCATAACTTAAAAATAAGAAAACAGAAGCAGAGACCATGCTCTTAACACATCCAGCAGAATGGCTTGAAATTAGACAAAGAACATGAAGAAGGAATCAAGGCTCTTACCTTTTTAAAAGTGGAGCTACAAGAAGATCTTATTTTACAAAGATTGCAAAAATAACAAAAAAAAATTGTGCAACAGTGAAAGCAGAATAGATTCAATGAACCAGCCCCCAAAGATATACCTGTCTATGAAAAAAAGGAAAACAATCTGATCTTTCCTCAATCTTCTTGGAAACAAGATAGACTTATTGAGCAAGAAAAATGAAAGTCCTTTGCTTCTGCCCTAATATGAGGGTTGTTGAATCAGGAAAGGACAAAGTGCAAATTAAGAAAATTTATTTATGTAATCAAAAAGGTACATTAAAAAGGAAATTTTTATAGCAAGGGTATTAAAATATCAAGAAAACAAAAGGTCACGTGTTTTAATAAAAGGACAGCTGTACCTGTACTGTGGCATTAAACCAGCCGCGGAATCCGGAGTTTCCTACCCTGAATAGAAGTCGGTTTGGAGCTTGGTATGCCAACATGTAGGGTTTTGACGCAAACAAAACACCATTCATTCATGGCTTCTCAACGCCTCTCTTCCCTGTTCCGACTTCCGAGTCCCGGACATTTACGCTACAAATCGACCGAGCCGGAATGATGAAAGATGTATAACTCAGCCACGAATCAACGGTGTAGATATATCTTGGGGCTAATCAAGCCATCGAATGTTGCTGAATGGGATGTCAAACAGACGGATCTGATTTGGTATGATACAGAGTTATATCACAAATCTATTGCACCATAAGTAGGCTCTTTCTGTATGTGTAGTTCCCCTTCTTTTTACAAAATGCAAACACCTTTGCAGCTTGTCTCTTTGCCCCTTCTCTCTCACACATTGCACACATACCATGATATTTATCTTTAACTCGGTAAATTGTACTTACAATCCCTCACAAATTCTTAACTTACACATAGAATCCTCGCGGTTTTAAAAATTACAAACGAATCCCTTGATGCTCTCCATATATATATATATATATATATATATATATATTTTTACCTGAAGTATTAGGGAATCAACAATTAACCCCTGAACATCTAAAGTTGCAACTAACCCCATCAATTATGCATTTTTGTTGGAGATGACTCCATCCGCCACTGTTCCGATCGGATCTTACCATTAAAGTCATCATGTGATGGTCACATGACATACACTATAATTTTAATGACTATAATGCCCTCACGACCTTGAAAAGGCACTAATGCCCCTTATATTAACATAAAATCCACATTCCTTTTAAACACCTAAACACACCCTTATACTATTGATCTTTTTCGCAACGTGGCCTAAATGGAAAAAAAAAAAAAAAAACCTGACGAACATAACTCTCATCTCCTCTCTCTCTCTTCATCTGTTATATATATATATATATATATGTCACTCATGTTCTTGTATAGATTCAAACATGAGTCACGTGAATTTATTGATGCTTCTTGATCTTTAATTTCTCCAACAACAACAAAAATCCCAGATTAAACCATTACAATCAACTGCGTATAAAGTGGGTGAATCGATCTGTGAACGAGTAATGATCACGAGGAGAAGGCGCTGGGGAGGGGTGCCGAGGCTAAGATCGATGAAGTGCCCGAGCCGGTGGAGGCACCGAAGATGAAGGGGAGTTGGGGGGTTTTCCAGTGGCACAGAGCAGAAAAGAGGACGGAAAGGCAGTGGGCATCGAAGGAGAGGGCTTTGGATGGGGAAGGAAGTAGGTTTCTGTGCAGGAGTGGGCTTTAGATGGGGAAGGATTGGTAGCATCAGTGGTGCTTGGGTACTGCAGGAATATGTGAATGCTAGAAGGATAGAGAAAACGGCGAACACAGAGAGAGAGTAGGTTTTGTTTTTTTTTTTTTTTTTTTTTTTTTTTTTTGTTTATGAAATTCGGCCACTTTCAAAAGTCAAAATGATGTAGTTTTTAGAAGGGTAAATTTGTCTTTTAATATTTCCGACCAAGTCACCTACTGGAATACAACAAATCAATAGTTTAGGGGGTTTTTTTGCAATAAAATCATAGTTTAGGGAGGTTTTTTTATAGTTCAAGGGGTTAGTTGCAAAACCCCAATAGTTCAGGGGTTTTTTTTTTTTTTTTTTCATTTTACCCTCTTTTTTTAAAAAAAATGTGTCAAATGAATCATTTAATTCATATTTCAATTTATTAATTATAACTGAGAGTTCATGACGAGGGACTTCTAATAAAAACATTACTCAATAATGTTATGGTAAATTAAAAAAACCTCCATTGAGAAATTACACAAACTCCCCTGAAAATGAAACGTTGTTACGTTGACATCTTTTTTAACTGTCAATGCGAATCAAATGATAGAATTTGTTGATGTCATGTAGTGAATAAATTAAAATTCTCATATTATCATTGGTTGAAGTATGCTTATATACACACACACACACACACACACACACACACACACACACACACACACACACATACATGTACATGAGGACAAGTCGATTGTAAACCTCCCATATCAACATTGCCATCAGTGGCAGTATCAACAGCAGTAATAGTAGCAGTTTTGTCCTCAATATGTTTCAGTTTTCGAATCTTCCTTGGAGGCTTCGACTTCGCATTTGGGTTCGATGTGTCAGCATTGTGGAGAACCAAGTTGTAGTTCACCGACTTTAGGGTTTAAATCAAAGTGACACAACAGTCTTGCCAGTTAAAATCGGTGAGGTCGTTAATCGCTTCCTCTAAAATGATGAATGCGCAGGAAGAGATGTTGTTGACTTCGAGTGTGGAGCGAGATGGATCCATGAGGTCGATTGCGTTCATCGCATCGATCAAAACCTTCTGTGAATTCGAACAAAACATCGAGTAAAAATTCAGAATAGCTTAGGCTGATTTTTAAAGAGAGAAACAATGAGAAATGCTTGATTTCAATATTGATTAGTCTATCTCACCTTCGGTTTCTTGTGGATCTTTTTGAATCTGTACATTTTGATGACCTGTATAAACATAGCAAAACATATAAACTGAGATGAAAATAATTGAAATCAAAGTAATATATTCAACAACATTCATTCATGAAATTGTATAGAAATTTACAGAAGTTAAGAAAAATATGTTGCATTTTGCAATTACTGGTGAAAAACACAAAATAAAACAAGTTTTTACTGATACTAAATCGATCGATAGTGAATGAAATTGGAGTTAGGTATAGAAATAACATCATACTACACAACATAAACCTAATATACGTAAATATTCGACAAAAATAATTCAAATAGATGTTTGTTCTTAAAGTCATTCAGATAATTAACTAATGATATGAAATTCAATGAGGAAAATTCATGCAATTGTTGAAGTGATTCAAATAATTCATGTTGATTGTATACATATATATGTATATATATGTGCATGTGTCAGGAGAGAGAAAAAGATGATGTGAGAAATGGGTAGTTCATTCATTTACTATAGTAATTTGAAGGTATTTTAGTAAATTAGACATATTCGTTAGTTCATTTGACGGTTCGTCACTAAAATGGAGGTCTGTGTAACAACGTTTCATTATTAGGTGAGGTTAGTGTAATTTCTCAAACCATAGGGAAGATCCTTATAATTATGGCAGACCATAAGGGAGGTCCGTGTAATTTAATTTTATTTATATTCAAATATCAATAATATACAAAAAGACCAGACTATCCATGTTATTTTACTGTACATAGACTTCCTATCCACAAAAATATAGACTTATTTTGCTCAAATCCAACGTCAGCACCCAAATTTCTCTACCGCTGTTTTCATAAACCACCACCATATCTCTTGATCTCTCTCTCACCCACATATACACACATTAAAAAAAACACACACATTCACTCAGACTCACATATGCACACAAATGCACGCACACACATTTGCACATATACTATATACGTGCAAACACATTCATGAAAACTTAGAGACCCAATTTGGAGATCGGTGTGGGAATATTACATGATGATGAAGATCTTCTCTTGACAACACTTTTCACACACTCACTATAATCAACACTGCCAACATCACCCTCACATTGTCCCAACATATACAGATTCATAGTTGGCTATATAAAACCCATTACCACTAACAACCGCACTATCAAACCTATTTCTTGTAACATTTGGTGTTTCCTCAAAACACCTGCTGATCAAACTAAAATTAGGTCATAGACCTTGACTCCTCGAACGGCATAATTCTAAATAACTCGAAGCTCCTTTTAATGAATCCATCTTACCTAAAGTCAAAAGACACCATCAAGATTGGCAAGTATAATTCAATCAAGGTCAATATCAAACTTGGAAACTAAAATCAATTATAGTAAATCCAATGAGGTGAGCTAAAGGCAGAGAGCTAGATATTATGGTTGTTGTTGCAAATAATCACAATCAAGGAGGTGATGAAAAAATGCATTTGGCTTCGATTAATGAAAATAAGTTCAGGTTGAAGAAGATTTATGTTGGTAGTCGTGCAAGTAGACATCGTGGGGGCAATGGTGGTACTAGGATGACAAAGTTCCAGTAGCATGCGGTCTTCCAGTTAGTTTTGCATTGCAAATTAAGAATAGGGCAATATACCTAAAGTTCTACCTGAGTGTACGTGTGGATAATTTGAGTAATATGGCTCAATTTTTCTTTCCTTGTTTATTGATGGTTGCAATGTCCAATGACACTTTCAATATATGGATATGTAATTGAGACCAATCAACCAATGATGGTTGATTTTTTGGGTTTAGGTTGGTTTTGTCTGAAAGAGGTGGAGGTTTGAGAGTTTATGATGAAAAAAGATTACCAGAATATACATTGCAGAGACAAAATAGTATTTGAAATGGAGTGTTATTAAGTCATTTTACATGTGTCCGAGGGCAAAATGGACTTTTTAAACCAAATATAACAATGATGTCAGTGTGATACCCCCAAATTTCGAAGCGCGGGTCAATCAGGTCCTCGCCCAAAAATCGGGGTATATAAAAATAATTAAATAATAAACAAGCACATAATACAAAAAAAATAAATAATAATATGCTGAAAGGGAAAACTAAATAATAATTAAGTAATAAACCCATCGATAAATAATCCTCCAATAAACTCCATAGGTAAACCTCCAATGTATACAACTCAGCAATCCATAAATCAAGGACCCCTAAATAATCCCTTAAAACCAAAATAAAAAATCTCTAAGTCTAAAAGAAAATAAAGAAATAACATAAGAAAATATCCTACATCGATAACACCGGAAGAGTGACGAAGACTATCTTTGATCATGTAACGACCCAAACCTGGGGGTCCGAATCGCTAACCGGATCCTTACCCAAACCCGAGGACACATTAGGGGTAAAATGGTCATTTTACATTAAGTCTAGACAATTTGACCCTAAACTGGTCAAATAAGGTTAATACACTCTATCCCAGTCATTCCATAACATTTTAAGAGGTTCCACGTGCATTAGTCATGGTTTGTCCAAAAGTGCCTCTACTCGGTTGAAGGGAAATCATGATACTGTCTCACTAAAACACGCATTTGTCTCTGTATGATTAGAATCTAAAGCTTAGGTTGGTGTCATTGAAATGATAACTCAAAAACCTTAAAATTAGACTCAAGAATGACCCTATTTAGGTTTGAAACGAAGAAATTATGACTGCTCAAAGTTAGGGGTCCAAAGATCGAAGTAGCCAAGACAAAATGATTATGGGGAACCTAAACCGGTTCACGATACTTGAACCAGTTCAACATGGGCAGTATGCCCACATTGGGAACCAAATTTCACCCTTAAACCGGTTTAAGGGGGTTGAACCGGTTCAATATGGCCAGAATGTTAAAAATAGCCCAAAAAAGCCTAAATTGAGTACAAAGGGTTACGGAC